CCCTCCCTCCAGCCACATCCCTGTCCAGCAGCAGGAGGCAGAGGAAGCAGGAAAATACTGGCAGATGAGTCTGAGGCAGGTCAGGGTTCAGCATGCTGTTTATTGATATTGGACTGCAGTGGCATGCAGAAACCAGGTACCAGGTGATTTGGGGGATCAGAGTCCTCAGGGTCATGATCTCCTTGGGGGAACAGTGTTCTAGGGCCTGGGAGGGAGGAGGAAAGCCCTGCTTCAACATGCTCCTTGCAGAGCAACCCTCCCGCACCGCCCTTGGAATTGCCCCTGACCGTCTTCTGCAGGATAACACCGCAGGAGGGTGACACCAGGGGGCAAACTGCACAAAGTTATGAACCTGGTGACTCAAGGAAGCCCTCAGCCATGTCCTGGGGTCCTTCAGAGGCAGCTGGAAGGGTTCAACTGGCTGTGACCATTGTGTTCATCATAACATCATCACTACAGGCTGTGTTGTCCTCTGGATTCTTGAAGATCCTCTGGAGGGAGACCCAGAGGGACCCCATGGAGCATTCCCTCCAGCAGCTCCCCACCAAGAAGTAGATGAAGGGTTTGATGGTGCTGTTGATGCAGGCCAGCAGGAAAAGAACCTGAGAGGGCACTATATCAATAGCATAGCCGAACTGCTGGTAGAAACTCCAGAGGCTGAGGGGAAGCCCAAAGATGAGGTAGAACAGGACAGTGAGAAAGATAATGATGTGGAGCCTCTTGGCTTGATGCTGCTGGGAGCCACACAGGACCTTAATGAAGAGGATTGTGCAGGAAATGAGCATGGCTGGAGCAAAGAGGAGGAGGTTGAGGACATACATACAGATGAGAGTCACCTGGCAGTGCTCATGGTCATGCAAGAGGCATAGAGAGGTCACTGTAGCAATGACAGTGATGGAGAGAGCCCAGAGCAGGACACATACCACCACTGAGAGGCGCTCAGGGTGGTGACAGCGGTACCAGAGTGGGCAGTAGATGGACCCACACCTCTGGATGCTGATGGCTGTCAGCAGGTACAGCCCCATGTTGTAGGAGAACAGTGACAGAAGGAAAATTGACCTCAGGTACTTCAGAGACACAAGAGTGGAGCAGAAGACATTTTCTATCATGTACAGGAGGGATGAGATGACCATGAATAGAAGGAAGCTGGAGTCGGTGACAGCCAGGTTGAGGATGTAGATGGTAATTGTGTTCTTGCGGATGTGGCAGCCAAGGAGCCAGAGGACAGCCCCGTTCCCTGCCAGACCACAGAAGCAGATGAGCAGTGTGACACCATCTATGACCACATCGGTGACTTCTATGCTGCATAGGTCGTCTCCATCAGTGGGTGAGGTGGGAATTGGGGTCATGTGGCTCACCTCCATGGCTGGATGCTGGGCAGGCAGTGGGAAGTGGTCCCTGGCTGTGGGCAGAGTGAACAGGAATTAGAGGTTGGAGAATCCAGAGATGAGCCATATGGCCCCTTGCCAGCTCTCTGCACTGGGAAGGATTCAGTGGAGAGAAATGGGATATGCTGGGGAGGGGAGACATTGTGGGTTTGGAGA